TCCTGCTTCCTAGGCTGCGACCCAGCTCAGTCCCTCATGGGATGTTGGATGTGTTCAGCATTAATCAATGTGGATCCCTCCCGAGGCTCTGGTTGCTTGCATGGCCCTTAGGAACGCATGAGAAGGCAGCCCCGGCCTCCCACGGATGTTCCTGGGGCAGCTGGTGGGAATGCGAGGCACAAGGGTTACCTCTCCCCGGATGCGCGGGGTGACGGGCCTCACCTCTGCATGAGGAGATCACTAGGAAAGTGTTTCCTGCACACTAGACAGGGATAACTCATGCAAGGGATGAATGGCCCCAAGATACAGCTAAGGATCTGACGTGAATTGAGAGAAGCCAGGAATTTCCTGACCTCCCTGTCTCACTCCTCCCAGAATGGCCTGAGCTCACAGGAAGGAGAGAGGGAAGCTCATCTCTGAATCTTTCTTCATTGTTTTGGGTCTGTGTAGCTTCAGCTGGGTTGGAGGAGAAAATATTCTGGGAACTTCTCATCAGATAGAGCTCTCTTGATAGACAGTTACAGATAAACCTTGCTGCTTTTTTTTCTTTTCTGCAAAAGTTCAAGATAGTGACATTGCCACAGAAAAATGCTTTCCTAGTGCTCTGCACATGGCAGGCTTCACCCTTCAACTGCTCACTGTCATGGCAAGTTTAACAGTGGTGTGCCTGGGAAAGATCAGACAACAAAGGTCTTGATCCCCAAGCTGTTATTCCGCAGCTGAACCCACTTGTGCTGACCTTCACCTTCAGACAGAAGCTGTGCACAACACGGAAGCTCACCAACGGCACAAGAATCTCCATCAGGGACGCTGATCACCAGCAAACGCAACAGATATTACTTGCGGAGTGTCATCCATGCAGGGCTCTGGTCACACTGGCTTCCCTTGCTGCCACAGGCCCTGGGAGAAAGGACATGGCCAGGTAGCCAAGTCTTCTGCATGAGAAGCAGCAGCTGGAGGCCAGACAGGCTCTCCTCTGAGGTCTAAACCAACACTGACTTACAACAGTTAGGTCTGAATGTCTCCCTAGACACCTGACTTCCAGACAGCTCCAGTTAAGAGCTAATCCTCATGGCAGGAGCAGGCCTGCAGCAGGCAGTGAGTCGCACTGCAGAGATCCCTGAGCTATCGTTGCTCCAAAGTGGTATGTCCACACAATGCCAAGTGTCAACACGCTTCCTCATGTCCCACAGCAGTCTAGTAGCATAAGCACAGCCAGTCCAGCAGCACAAGCAGTGTCTGGTGCTAGCTAATGAAGCCAGAAACTTGGGAGGCTGATCTGTGCTGTGCTGATATGGCCACATCATTCCCAGCTCTGGTGCAGGCTCAGTCAGGGGCGATTCAGGGCTCCCTGCAGTGAGACTGTGCTCTAAGGACCACCCCAGAACTTCAGCCCACAGCTTCCTGATGGGAGATAAAAGTCTGCAGAGGCGTCCACATGGTCAGATTTTACTCATCTTCTAGTTCTGTTTCACTCCAAATTCATTCCACTGCAACATGTTTGCTACATGAAGACAAAGCTGACCAAAATCAATTTGCAGGACAGGAATGTTTAAGGATTCACAAGAGGATCATAGAATCCCAGACTGGTTTGGGTTGAAGGGACCTTAAGGTTCCTCCAGCTCCAACCCCTGCCACGGGCAGGGACACCTTCCACTAGAGCAGGTTGCTCCAAGCCCCTGTGTCCAACCTGGCCTTGAACACTGCCAGGGATGGGGCAGCCATAGCTTCTCTGGGCACCCTGTGCCAGCGCCTCAGCACCCTCACAGGGAAGAGCTTCTGCCTCAGAGCTCATCTCAGTCTCCCCTCTGGCAGGTTAAAGCCATTGCCCTTGGCCTGTGCCTCCAGGCCCTTGTCCAAAGCCCCTCTCCAGGTTTCCTGGAGCCCCTTTAGGCACTGGAGCTGCTCTAAGGTCTCCCCTTCTCTTCTCCAGCTGACCCAGCCCAGCTCTCTCCGAATGTCTCCAGAGCAGAGCTGCTCCAGTCCTCTGAAGAGCTCACAAAGTTACCACAGGTTCATGCAGGACCCCATTCACATCAGCAGATTTCTATAAGCTGTAACAATGGGCAGCAACTCCCTATTTTCCTCATCTTCTCACACTCCTGGGTGCCAGTGGCAAGTAGTGAGATGCACAAGGATAGCGCATGGGCCCAATCCTTGGCTGATGCAATGAGAACTCTCCTGAAGCCAGCAGAGGTGGGCTTATTTACATGCTGGTGTCTAACTCTGGATGATTAATTACAGAGCTGCTGTGCTGGGAAAGGGCAATCTCCCGTTTGATCCATCAATCATGAGATTGCAGATAACAAGCCAGTTGAGTGCATGTAAATTTGTCTCCAATCTGGAAAACCCTCTATGGAGGCTCTCCATGGCCACTGCTAAAGGCCAAACGGGGCAGGAATAGCTGCTTCTCCTCCAGCAGATCCACATCCTGTCTCTCCTATGTTGATCAGATAAAAATAAACCGTTAATACTTTCATTCCTGGTTTTCCTGAAGAGCTATAGGTCAGGAAGATAATAACCAATAAACTCAGTTCCAACAGCACTGGTCTTAGTTTGAATAATCAAGGAACCAGAAGGAAAAAGCAGATCACTTTGGAGGAAGAGCAGTAATGGGCTCGTCCACACTGACTTGGCAGTGCTGGGGTAAAGGTTGGACTTGGTGATCTTAAAGGTCTTTTCCCACCCAGTTGATTCTCTGATTTCCAAAAGCAGCTCCTGGCTGTGGGCACCATTTCCGAACTCAGCACGTTTAGAATACCAAATCCTTGTACAGATATCACACTCTGGGACACTTCAGATTGGTCTAGTTAGTTCTGAAGACAATGGCCTGAACGGTTAATGGTACAGAGAGCACCTCTAAACCCATGTCCCTGAGCTGCTGCTCCATGGACAGCTGAGCACCTACCACTGCATTGCCACCAGAAGGGCAGGACTCCTTCCCAGGCCCTTTTTGCCTGTTCCTCTCCATCCAGTCTTCCTCTCTCCCCCACAGTAGTGCTGGTACGTGAGCAATCATTTGGTAAGCTAGTTCAAAGGGATCTTATGGTGGAAACCTAACACTCAAAGTCACACACTAGCACCGCAAGTCTAAGGGCTCATGCCTGTCCCACTAAAGGGAGCCCTCCATGGCCTGGGCTACGCTGTTCCCCAAGGCCCCTAACCCACCAAACTGATTAAACTCTGAAATCCAGGAGAAAACAAGTCACTCTGGAGACTTAAAGCTCTTTAAAGCAGAGAGCTCTCTGAACACTCTGTGACAGCTGGAGAACTGCTTGACTGCACTGCAGTCTGGAGAGCACTAAGGTGTTTACATTCATACCCTGCTTCTACCCATCTTACCTACACTTGACCCTGTTAGATAATACCTAACTCAGACTTCCCATCCACTCAAGCTTGTCCCCATTTTTAAAGACAAACTTCACTTACCAGTTTGGCTTCCTGATTCAAGTGGAATACACAATGGTCATTTGTTTTAACCACTTCCCTCAGAAAAGAAGGGAAAGTCCCTCTCATGTGGAAAATAGTGTCAAATTTTTATTCACACTGGCTTTACAATGATGACTTTAACCAGTGACTTGACTTGGTTTTTCCTTAAATGGGCTGAAATATTAGCCAACTTCCAAAAAACAGTATCAAAGAATACATTAAAAGCCCTTTGCCATGCAGAACGTACCAGGCAGAGGGCCTGGATTTGTTTTTTCTAGAAGTCTTTGGAAGCATACACTGGATAAAGTGACTCTTCCAGTTTTCAGCAACTAATGCTGTTTCCACCACCTCCACAAACTCTCACTATTGCTACTGTAGCCTAATGAAATTCACATGCTGCGAGCACAGAGGTGTCTGGTGCTCTGCTTCCAATCGTGACAGACCCAGAAGAATGTCAGAGCATGAATCAGGGGGACAACCACGACCTCCAAACAAAAAAGGCTCCTGTTTTCACACAGACGACAGAATAAACAGCGATCAGAAGGAAACTGGAGGATGTGACACCAAACAAAAATGTGGTTAGAGTTTGAAAAATACCAGCCTAGGCACAGAAGTTCATTTCTAAGATGTAGAGTCAAGGCAAATACTTCACAGATGCCTTTTGAATGACACGGTAGGTTGTAGTCTCCAGCTCTGTCTGGGTTAGACACCCCGGGATTCTTTTCAACAGAGGCGGGGAAAATTTTAGTAGCAATTTCCTACTCTCATTAACTTACCCTGTAAAGATTCAGCCTCTGCACATTCAAGCTCACATGATGCTCAATTCATTTGAATGGGAGGAGGATCAAGTGGCAAGTCTGGTGGTGTTCACAGATTTGCCCTGTCACTGAAAAAACCTCTGCACAAGCCCAGGAATTGGAGCTCTGATTCTGACTCAGGCTTTGGCCGGGGCAGCCTCCAGGATGGGGTTATTTCACACAACTGGACTTATCTAGGATTACATGTCTGGCCTACCCCAGTTCTTTGGGTTGCCCCAACAACTGCTGAGAAAGAGATCAGCACCTCGAGGGGATAATTCTTCCTATCCTAGAGAGGTAGCTAAAAAGGGAGAGGATCCAGTAAGTACCTGTGACTCACATGGAAAGACAGTCTGGAGGCAAGGAAGGAGAGGTGAAGACCATGTTAGGCAGCAGACAAACACACCTTTCAAACTTAAAATGGGGTGGTGATTTCAGAACTTAATCCAAACACACACACACAGGTAAGCCTGGGGGGAGACACCGATACCATCAGCCTCTGTGTGTAATTCACAGCTGCCCACTCCAGAGACCAGGAGAAATTCCTTACACTGGATGATGAAATAAGCTGATCACAGACGCTTTCATCCTAAATGCTTCCAGTTCATGCTTCTATCCCTGTGCCCTCATACTCTGTCACCTCTATGTATTTTGATACTGCACAGTAAAGCCACTAATGTCAGTTAAATCTTGTGCCATCCTTGATGACAGAATGTTCATGGCAATGGATTCCACCCTGCCTGGCATATCTTAGAACCACTAATACCTCCTCACCTGCTGAGATCCCCTTGAGCAAAGCATCCTGCCCATCTCCTTGACTCCAGTTGTCTTCTTTCCACCTACAATCCAAGCATCACATCAAAATTAGCTCCAAAGCTAACACCTTATGTTTAATTGAAAAAAGAAAGCACAGATGCCTGAGTAACACACAGCAGCAAAATCCCATGGCTGAAATTGTATAACCTTTGCCATCAGGCACTGCCAAAACTGGCAGTTTATTCCTGGAAACAGGGATTTCAGAATTAAGTGTCATCTGAACGTGTAACTCATCAACCTGCAGCAGCTCCTACCAATACTTTAGCTAACCTGGTTTCTAAGATAACAAAGCTTATGTCTGCATGTGCTTTATCCATGTGTGTGTGTATGGGAAAGGAGGGGAGATGTCCCCTGAGTAATAACTATTGACCTTATTACACTGTTTGAATAAAACTTGATGGGGGGGGGGGGGGGGTACCAAAGCACCTCAGTTTTATGAAAGCAGACAAGTGGGCAGAGGAGAAAGATCCTGTGAATATCCCCAGAGTGGAAAAGGTGACAGTACGAGTTCAGCCCTTATTAGTCATCAGAGAATCTGCAGGAGAAAGACCTGAAAAGGTGACTTCATAGCAGACAAGCTGCTTTATTCCACTGCTTGGGGATCTCAGGAATGCTATTTACCATTTTGTCACTAGATGGTATTGTTCCACAGGCTATATCTGAGAGCCTCAAAGGTCAGATTCAGCATGGTATATCAGGAGCTGGGTTCACTGGAGTGAGAGAGAAGGCTTTTTTTGTCCTGTATTTTCACACGTTTTCATATATGGAAGTCATTAGCAAAATCAAACTGTGACAACTAAAGGACTAGAGCTTTGGGGAAAGTGTAGAAAATGTAACTCAGCATTGATGAACTGTGCATCTCCTCCATAGTTGAAAAAACCCTGCTGAGATAAAGAGATGGATAAAAAAATCATCTGTTTCTGTTAACAAACCAAGCATTTACAAGAAACCCTATTTTGTAGTTCAATCTCACCTGACACAATTCAAACAGCCTGACAAACTCTGTTCATCCATTTCAAAGTAAGTGAGAAAGCCTCAGTGTTATGGTAGGACACAGCCACAAGCTCCTTCAGTTTTGAAACTGGTGTTTACCTGTATCTTGAAGGTAAGAAGATGCTTCCATTTTCCATCTGTCACTTTTGTCCTCTCCATGCTCACTTGAATCTGCTTTGACAGGGAGAGGGTGACTCTGTAAAGCAAATGATGGTTTGTCTTACTAGCAGAACCTAAAAAACACACCCAGGTGGTAAATCCATAAGCCCAGCACAAATAAGGATGAGATTTTCACAGCTCCTCCATGTCCTTCCTTTTCCCAAGCCTACACGTCTTTCAAGAGAGAAATTTCCTTAGATAAGACAGAATTCCCACCTAAATGGCTTCCTATCTTGAGGAGTTAGTTATGTTGAGCTTTATTTCCTGACACTGACAACCTAATGTTAAGGTTCCTTCTTCCATCATTTTGGAGAGCAGCACCACCAGAGGACCATTCCTTCCAGTCAATCTTGGTATCTAAGGGCATTACCTGCTTAAGATGCCTCCTCCTCCTCCACTAAGTGCAGAGGGTGCCTGGAGAAATCAAACACAACACACAGCTTCCAGATGGCTGGAGGAATCCCACCTAACTACACAGTGGAACATGGCTTCATGCTGAGAGACACCAAGTGAAAGTGCACAACTGTTTGCAATGTTTTCCGTTTTGGCTATGTCTGTGTCTGAGTGTTCTCCCTGGGAGAACATACCAGCCTCTGGGAGTCAGTGGATACTCTGGAATGAAGTGAGAATCACAGAATCAGCCAGGTTGGAAAAGCCCTTTAAGCTCATCCAGTCCAACCTTTACCCCAGCCCTGCCAAGGCCACCGCTACCCCCTGGCACTGAGGCCTCGGCTACACGAGCTGTGAACACTTGCAGGGACAGTGACTCCAGCACTGCCCTGGGCAGCCTGTTCCAATGCCTGAGCACCCTCTGGGCAAGGAATTGTTCCTCAGCTCCAGCTAAACCTGCCCTGGTGCAGCTTGAGGCCGTTTCCTCTTGTCCCATCCCTTGTTCCTTGGGAGCAGAGACCAGCCCCCTCCTGGCTCCATCCTCCTGTCAGGCAGTTGGAGAGAGCGATAAGGTCCCCCCTGAGCCTTCTCTTCTCCACACTAAACCCCCCAGGTCCCTCAGCCCTTCCTCATCACACTTGTGCTCCAGGCCCTGCACCAGCTCCGGTGCCCTTCTCTGGACCTCCAAAATTCACTTGATGTCTACAAGTTCCAGCCCCAGTGTTCAACCCACTGCAGTGCTGCTGCCCAACACAAGCAGAAACCCTCATGAAACTCCAATTCTGAGAAAATGTGTCTTTTAAGGAGAGTTTTGCTAGATTAACTCTGGTCTTCCAGCCAGAACTGAATAGAGCCATTTCTATACCTTTGTGGTCCCCTCTTCTTCCTCTTCATCACAGTCTAACCCTTGATGGGAGATCTCAGTAGGGCCATTCCTCTTGATCAGGTTGCTCTCAACCTTCCCCATTCTCTTCTTTTCAGTTGTCACTCTCACTTTTATGAGATGGAAGCCGGTAGAGACTGACCCTACTCTCAGGTTGACAGGATCACCATCGAACAACAGGTCAGCAGGGCTGCCAGCTGCCTTAAAGCCAGGGGGCTGGTAGTCATCAGGAGTTACTACACAGGGAGAAAGAACCCACTGATGTCAGAGAAACCAAGTTCCATGCCTCCTTTAGCTGATCTATTACAGAACAAGCGTATGTCAGCCTTGAGTAACTGTATCAGCCACTGAAAATATTCTGGGGTTCTTTTGTCAGGAAGAAGGGAGAGAATGCAAAGATAAAAATGAGCTGAGCAAATGTGATCAGGGAGCTTGAAGAAAGAATGACTTTAGGATGCTGAGATACCATTCATGTGCTCAGCTTTCTAGGTGCAGAACCTGACATGGCCTTGAAACACCAAAGCCTACCAGTGAAGGAGTCAAGTGTCTCCTTTTGGCACTACATGCCTGTGTTTGTTACATGGAAGCTCAAACCTGTCTTAAAAGGCATCTGCCATGCCCATGTGTCAGAAGGTTTTACTGTGTTTTACACCATTTCTCATTGCTTTCGGCCAATACCTTCGACCATTTCACCTTTCTGTGCTTTATTTACTTCACAGGGGCCCATGATTACTACAGGAACTGCTGGAAAGGGAATCTTCCCCCCCAGCGCACACTGTTCTCCACCTACCATCATTGTAGTAGAGGAGTTTCATGGTGAGGGTAACATCATTGGGAAGTGGGCCGAGGTTCTGCATTAGCAGGTAGAGTTTCCGGATCAGGAGCCTGCTGGCCTGTTTAACATCCTCACTGCACACCCCATCCACAAAGTTCACTTGGTTGCTACAATCAGAAGAAGAATAACAGATTTGTTTTCCTCAGTCATGAATATTCACAACCTAATTACAAATACAGAGCACCCACTGACTTGTCTGAAACCACCAGCCCAAAGCTACAATGCCAGATCAACAGGGAAGTGAAACATGCCAGGGATGGGGTGGCAGCTCTGAACTAGGAGGCATGGCATTTACATTTGAACAGACTTCGTAGCTGGGGCAATGGACCCCATTATACAGATGTCATGACTCACTTGTTTGAACATGATTAAATTGGATCAAAGGACCATAAAACAAGTGCCTTTCACCTCAGCAATTTCAGGAATGAGAGGAATGAGGTGAGAATCCCATATAAAGTTGATTCATCGCAGAGGCTATTTTGCAGCTTGAAGAGAAGTGAATTGCATGTTCTCACTTCAGTTGCATGGAAGAAAAACCAGCTCAGAAGCACATTCTTCCAAAGTGACTAAGGGGCATTCCTCTCACCTCCTTCACCCATCCAAATGTCAGCTGGGCAGCCTAAGCAGGCAGTCTAGACTGAGATAACACCTCACAGGAGTGGGATGAATAGGCCTCTGGAGGAGTTTGTTTCTCCTGACTACAGAGGTAGAGGAGATGAGAAACTTAGATCAGCAGCTGACTTCACACAGTTGAAGATGGACTGGATGAATCACTATGTGACTAAGAAACCTGAACTTCCTTGACTTTCAATAAGAAGGGGCCATAAAAACCCCATAGCTCCCTCATTACATCACTGGCAGACCACTGGCAGGTGGATGACACTACACACAGGCTGGTTGTCCCCAACACAATCACCCCAAAGTGCTTTAAGAGCAGTAAGCAACCTAAGAGAGCAGAGAGGACTCCAGGGCTGAATTTGACTGATTAAACATTGGAACAACAGCTTCTTTAAGACTCATTTCTCCCTCCAATTGAAGCTTCTTGGCTCATTGTGAAAACAGAGAGGCTGTTGCTTGACTACCAGGGCATGGTTTGGTAGGCTCCAAAATGCTGGTGGCACAACCCTGTGCTGAGCATGCTGTGCCATTAGATTAAATCCTGCATGATCAGAAATGTACATCACACGAGAGTACCACTGCTGGCAATGCCCAAGGTGGACTAAAGAGAAGGCAGGGCCTTCCCTCCCACATCACCTTACAAATCTTGGGATTAGCAGGATAGAAATGGGAAGGGGAAGGAGTATAAGTAAAAAAGAGATGAGACTTCCATAGGAATTAACAGGTCAAGTATTGGTTCAATATGGGATTAACACTGTGAATTTCATGCAGGAATGTGTTGACAGGTCGAAGCTGAGAAACTGCTCTGAAGGACTGGGATCCATGGCAAGGAATCCCTCCAATATCCAGCCAAAATAAGGCAGAGACCATTTAGGAGACCTTTCCCTTTAGCCCTCAGATCCGAGGATGCAGATCCACAGAACACCTCTCAAGGAATGATTAACTCTGAATTTGCACATGCCAGTAAACACTACAGGTGTGCCAAAGCAGTGTTATCAGCCAAGGGAGCTGGTAGCAAAGATGACACAATCCTGATCAGTGCCAGAAGGTCACTTTATTAATGACTGCAGGTACACGTGTGACCCTGTGACAGCAGTGTCAGTCACTGAGGAAACAACAGAGCCCAGGAATCCCATGCCACAGGCTCTGAAGCCCCAGAACAGTAATGAAATGTCAATACAGCAGACAGAAACACAACAGCAGGATTACTCAGCCTCTCCTTGGCCACACCAGGGGATGCTGAGCTCCACCAGGGGACTGTTATTTAAATGACTGACCTGAGAAAGGCTGCAAGGGCTGGAGCAGCTCTGCTCTGGAGCCAGGCTGAGAGAGCTGGGCTGGGTCAGCTGGAGAAGAGAAGGCTCCTGGAGGGAACACCTTAGAGCAGCTCCAGTGCCTAAAGGGGCTCCAGGAAACCTGGAGAGGGGCTTTGGACAAGGGCCTGGAGGGACAGGACAAGGGCAATGGCTTTAACCTGCCAGAGGGGAGACGGAGATGAGCTCTGAGGCAGAAGCTCTTCCCTGTGAGGGTGCTGAGGCGCTGGCACAGGGTGCCCAGAGAAGCTGTGGCTGCCCCATCCCTGGCAGTGTTCAAGGCCAGGTTGGACACAGGGGCTTGGAGCAACCTGCTCTGGTGGAAGGTGTCCCTGTCCGTGGCAGGGGGTTGGAGCTTTAAGGCCCCTTCAACACAAACCAGTCTGGGATTCTATGACTCTCTCTCAAATCCCAAAGGTCTGCTCTTCCCCTCAGTGTAGGGAGGACAACTGACAGCAGCTTCAAAGCAGAAGCAGAAGATACCATTCACAGGACACTTCAGACTTGGACACGGTTCAGATTTTCCCAACAGAAAATCATTGTGCCACATACTACAGATTATTTGGATGTGTTTAGAGAAAGAGCAGCAAATGACACACAACTGGAGTGTTGTGGAAGAGCTTCCTGAGGAGCACACAAGGCAGTAGAGCTCTCTTGCTGCACAAGCAGCTTCCAAGGCCTAAAGCTCCATCTCTCAATGGCAACTGCAGAAGTGAACTCACAAAGGGTTAATCCTTTCCCTTTGCTTTGGTTACACCCAACGGCCTCTGACAGTATTTATTTTCAACTACCCAGATTACGGCCTGCTAAGCACAGCTTTAAAATACCTAACAGACAGAGAGAGACCAAAAGATGCAAAACCCTGCTGCTTCCTGCCACACAGTTTGCAGCATCGAGTGAAAGTTCTCTCAGGTCACCCATGCAAGACTGCTCAAGCAGGAGACATGTAGGCAAATGCCCAAGGAATAGCAATCCTGGGTGCAGGGTCATGGTGAAAGGGAGACAACCTGGAAAAGCTTCCTTTGGAAGCACCAGGCTGCCTGGGGGAAGTGGCAAGACACTTGTTGAGGCAGCAGCAAGCTCAACAACTGAGCTGGTTTCTGCATCGCTTCCCTGATGAGGCACCAGTTCTATCAGTTGTCCTCAATTCAGTGCTGGGGCACTGTGTTGCAGTGTTTCTGCTCATCAGCTCAGCAGTTCATACCCTGAGGCTGAACCCCCTCAGACATGCTCTCATCACAAAGTGCAGTTTCTTCCTTGTGCTTCAAGAGCACAGTTTTATTTCTGAGAAATAAACCCAAAGCATTACCTGATGATGTCCATCTGGGGCACCTCCTTCTTGTACTTGAATTTGAACTGGTACAGTTCAGTCACTGTCTGAAGATTTAGCAAGAGAGGGGAAAAGAAAATATAGGTCATCTCTTACAGCAGCAAGTGTAAAGATGTGGCCTGACCTTAGCAGTGACCTTTGACAGCTTCAGGCCAGAGCACAGCATTCATTTAGTGATGTGATGACAGCATTAACTCTATTATTCCTTGCATAGGCTTTGGCAGATTTTCTCAGCAGCCACTTCTTACCTAGCACTGAAAAAGTCACCCCAAAATGACAAACTTCCTGCCTCCTCCTTCCACTTCCTCTGTGGCCTGACTCCCCAGCCGAAATCTCTAAGCAGCCCCTGGGGCAGGCAACCATCAACACATCCCTCCATCCTCCCTTACTAAAGGAGGACTGTGAGCTCCGTGGGTGATGCAGTGTCACAAGGAAGCCTGGCCCAGAGAGACAAGGGCCTGAAGGACTCTTCCTACTGAGAAATACAAACAATATTGAATGGGCAAAAGTTGCTGAATTGTCCTGGTCTTTCTGAGGGAGATAAAAAAAAACAACCTTGCTGATTTTCCAGTTAAAAGGAAATGGTTTGCTCTGATTTTAGAGAATCATGAGGAAGAACAGACAACTTCACCACAAGAGAAATGGTCTATTGTAGTCCAATTCCATGCCTATAATCCACTTTTTCCGCAGGCAATGAGGTCAATTTGTAGGAGCTCAGCTGAGCCCCTAACTGAGCCTTCCTTACAAATCCCAGCCTCAGGATAGCCTAAACTCTCGCTCCCTCCCCACACGCTGAGGTGAGACCCAGCAGAACTGTCCTCAAGGGAGCAAAGACTCTGCTGCTCCTCTCTGCAGTGCTCTGGAGATCACTTCTAGATCTCACTGCCCAGTCCCTGCACCAGCCAGATGTGGACAAAATGGAACCACCACAGAGAGCACTGAAAGGACAAGGACAGGCACCACCACCACATGCAGCCCAGGTCTGAAGTGATACAGAACTTCTGTTCTAAACCCCTCTCCATGTAAAACCAGCTGTCTGTTCAGCACTGCTTTGAAAAGGATGGCTCATAAAGGAATTATCTGGAACTTCCCATTTCTTCTCTTCTTTGGGAAAGAAAACCAAACCTGGGAACATGCCCATTAGCTGCCTGTTGACATCCCTGCCCGAGGCCCAGACGGGCCCCCAGCCTCATGCCCAGTAGGAGTGTTTGATCACAGTCCAGCTCACTGAGCTGTCATTCTGCAGTGAAGGCAGAAGAGGAGAAACGGGGTCAGCAGGCAGCTATGGCAGGGTAGAACTGAAGCCTACGAGGCCACTCTGAATACAAATCTACTCACCCATGCCTGCAGTTGCCTCAAAGATTAATTAAGACTCTTTCTTACCTCCGGTTCCTTGGGATTGGTGTAAATCTGTGTAAGAAAGCACAGTGAGGCCATTCTCCCCTTGGACAACTTGACCTAGTGCAAAGTGCCTAAACAATGATATTTTTCATTTTACAGCAAAGATTGTACTATCCTCAGGGTGGGATCAGAAAAGAGAATGGCTGAGCAACAGCCCTCCTCTATCAGCAGCCAACACCACTTCAAAGACAGGTAGAAGACACTCATCTGTGTAACTGTGGAGGAATGAGGTGAATTCCCATTCCAACCCTCACAGGCAACTCTTGATGCCTGAGATGGAACTACTCAGATTATGCATGGAAGAGGTGCATAGCACAGCTCTTGGGGCTTTACCAAGGGCAAAAGACTCACTACAAAACCACCAACAGTGTGTGTGTGGTTTCTTGGGGATCAGATTAAAAAGGAGGACTCTTCTGCAGGGGGAAATGGAGAAGACACAGCAGCTTCCAAGGGTGGAGGCAAGAGTTTAAAGGAAGCAATGATATGAAGCACATGGAAGTGCTTCTAGGAGTTCAAGGATGCATGGAAGGCCTCGGTCAGGAGTCTGACATACTGAGAAAGATATTCCCACGCAGCCTAGGAATTCATATTTACCATATTCCAGAAAGGTCAATGCTCTGTTACAAACCACATACATACTGACTTCCCCTTAAAAAAGGCACAAGTGGCTTGACACAACCTTGACTCCATATCTCTTTCAAGCAGGGGGGGAAGGAAACCAGTCTACTTACTGCGAGGAGAGCAATGTGCAACTGAGGAGGGAAAAACAAAACACAGTATCAAAACCTAACCTTAGTGGGCAAGGAAAAGAAAGGCAAAATCGAAGTGTCTGCATACAGAAAGGGAACAGAGACATTCAACAAAGTGGGAGTTGGAAGACAGATTCCTCACAGCACAGCATCAGCAACACCTAGTGGCCAGTTTGCTTTGGCTTTACTTGTCATTTCCCAAGGAAACAACCGCAGGCTCCGGACTTCCCCCTTGGGACTCCTTTGAAACAAATCTCCAAAGGCCACACCGATTTGAAACTCTCTTACCAGAGCGTCTACCCCTACTGAAGACTAATATTTGCTCTCTGCTATGAAACTTCCCAAAGGTATTTAGTGAATCCTACAGCAAGGAAACGTACGTGGGACTACTCTTGAAAACAATCCTACAGCACACGCTAAAAGTCTCCATTTTCCTCCTTAATCCTTGTCAAATAACAATTAATTTGTGTTTCATAAATAGCAAAGGACTAAATATCCCCAGGAGCTGTCAGGAAGCAATAAACTGAGTTCACAACATGTTGAATTATCTTATGCACGTTGACAGTTGTACTCATGTGCAAGAGCCCATCTGATCATCAGTGCCAAAACCAACACCACTTCATCTCGAGACGAGAGGTGGGTTGATGAGCAGTGCTGACAGAGATGACAACAGTTGGTGCTTTTGCCTGTGCAGAGCATTTTTTATATGAGAATCAGCAAAGAACATGATTACTTACAGGCTGGTTTTGCCCTGGAACCAGTTACGTGCATGACTTGATGAATTACTTTCCAAAAAAAGTAATGAATTCTGAACCCAAGAGAAAAGCCAGGAGAGTTAGAGAAGATGAGAAGAAGGGAAAAGACTTGGGGAAAGGAAATAAAGGAATGCAGAAGCACACAATAACCTTTCTCAAGAAAACAGGCACGGAGATCTCAGTTCTGACAGGCAGTGTCTCTATCCACGCATTAGAGAATGCAAATGTAGGACACAGCACTAAGGGAAATCCGTTTCAGGCTCCAGATGAGTTCATACACCGCAGACAAGCAAGCTTAGGGAGCAGCAGCACTAAGTACTTGGGCTCAAGGAGTAAAATCCCAAACCTCACATGTATACACTCAGGGCAGGGCCTCGCCCCCCGTCTCACAGCTGTAAATGTGTGCCGTGTCCATGCAAGATTACTACAAAACTCTAAACCAGGAATGGAAAGAAAGCTTTGACCAGACTTCATGAAGAAATAGGAAACTCCCATTTTAAAAATGTGAACAAAACTTACATATTGCCTCTCCAAAGCATGAAAACAACCTTGGATCCTGCAGGGAAGAAACACAATAACACTAACCAGCAAAATAGATATCTCCAGATCTGTGAACACACACCCATTAAGCACAGTTTAAACTGCTTTTTGTTTTCTGTAATTAGGACAAGATAGTAACATTTTGGGTTTGTAAAGTCCTTTTCAGATCAATCATGTTAAAGGCACTGTCCTCCCTCCTGCATCTGTGCATTGTTATACTTCCAGGACAGCATCCTGTCAGCCTGGAAGCCACTTACATCCCAGCAAAGACAAGGGTTGGAGGGGTAAGGCTGGTGCTGGTGGCTCTCTGTTCAGTGCTCTATTCCAGCTCCCAGTGTGACCTCTGATGGCTTTTTTTCCCATCAGCTTTGTGCAGAGCTTGGCTGAAACTCCCATCTGAACACAGCCTGGCATGTCTGGTCTTGTAAAGCCCCGCTATCTGATGCATAGCTTACAGCTATGGATTCTCTCAAAGTAGTAAATATTGTTTGAGGTGGCAATGGTGAGATATTTACTCTCTGAGTCAAAGGAAGTGCAGCTAGGTGTCTCCTTAGCATGTTAAAGTCAGACTCTGCTTGTTGGGAACATGCCAACTCTGAAATAGAATCAGAGAACCCCAGACTGGTTTGGGTTGGAAGGGACCTTAAGGCTCATCCAGTTCCACCCCCCTGCCACAGGCAGGGACAACAGTTGTAGGGCATTTAGACACACAATATCCAGGGAGATATAACATTGTACATACTAAAACCCAAGCTACAAGAATCCCTATATAAGTGAAACTAGAAAAGACTAAACCAAACAGACTCGACCTCATGACTTTTGTCACCCTCTCTCAGTGCTGACACTGCCCATGTGTGCTCTGAGGCCCGACCATGACCTCACTCCAGCCAACACCTCAACAGACCTTGAACTCACATGGTCTTGGGCAGCTAATTCTGGCTTAAGCACACAGGCTGCACACTGGATGTTGCAGCACTGGCACAGTCAATAGTGCTGCTGGGCACAGGGTTTTCAAATTCAGGAAGAAGAAGAACACGAGGGCTTGAGGTCTTGCTATTCAGCACAACCTTGTCTTGGTTTCGCTGTTACTCACTCACCACTTGACTATCTGCAGGGATCCCAGACAGCTTTTATCTTCTCGCAGAATTTTTAGACAGAGGTCTGCAAAACCAGATTTAGCACACAGTTACAATCCTTATCACAGCTCTTGGGCAACCAACACTGAAACAAAGCCAGCCACCCTCCCTTTTTTGGATAAAATGCTTTTTCTAGAGGTCCTTCCGGAGCACAAACATTGGTTTGCCACCAAGTCCCAGGTGGGCAGACACAAGCTTATGGCTGCGTTTTCAAATGTCAAAACTTTCCTCAGATGCTCTGGGCTCTCCCACAGCTACAGCTTCATTTCAGAGCCCCAGCAGCTTCCATCCTCTCCTCCTTCCTCTTCTCCACTCCCACCTATTTTGCCATTCCCTGACAACACCTTCACGTCTGCATTTGGCCTTCGCCAACATCCGTATGAGGTGAAGGACTGTGCTCAGAATAAACTACTTCTGCTAAGCTTTTCCACACAGCTCCTTCCACTTCTGTTTTCAAGCATTTGGAATGGCCGGAGGAAATCCACCATCCCACTGAAGAGGTCAATTAACATCTTTGGGTTCAGCCAAGGAGCCCTCAGAGGTGGGAGTAGGCCAAGTGTTCACATTCTTGATCAAAAAGGCACTTGAAAGACTAGTGGCTTTCCAGGCTTAGGTGATCAAGAGCCAATCTGGGATTTCCTGTGTCCTCAACCAAGCCCACCAAGTACAGGTGACCATGTTTCAGGACACCTAACTCCATAAGGGAATTGATTGGAATGCAGTGAGAGATTTCACACCCTACTACCACGTCTCGAATGAGCACGAAGATGTTGATGAATCAAAGCATCACTAATTCCTGTGATCCTACGATAAGACTTTGGCTTTTAAAGTTCTTTTTGCTTTCTTAAATTTACAATTCCCAAGCATATGTGATATATGTGAGACAGTTTTCACAGGAGAAGAATAAGACCCATCACAATAAAACAAACAAATCTACTTCCAATCTCACAAGGAAAGCTGAAAATACGAACTTGAAAGGCTCAACAATCCAAAGGAAAATAACACACACCAATCAGAGTTAATTTTTAAAAACTTATTGGTTTTAAGTGACTCTCCTGCCTCTGAGATCTGATTCATGGGGCTGGCTATGCTGAGGAATTATTACAAACTAAATAAACCACTAACAGAAGAGCCAGGAGCTGCCAATAGCTCTTGTTTGTCTTCTACGCTGCCTACCTGATACAGAAGCGCTGTCTGCATCCAGACCTGAGGAGGCCTGGCTGCTGACTTCCTAATAAACTGAACTCCCACACCCCTGAGCAGCTGGCAGCTTACATGTAGAGCAGATTATAGCTAAAACACAGCAAGCAGAAATAAGAATTCAGCACCAAGCGAATATGTTACCATCGAAGTAGCGAGTTCCGTACGAGCTCTCCGGGAAGAGCCCTCTCATGTAGGTTATACAGGACACAGAGATGGCCAGGAGCCTCTTCACCAGCACCACAGACTGCTGCTCAGTACTGATTCTGCTGGGGAACAACACTGATTCCTGAAAAAAAAAGAAGGCCAAATCCCAAATCAGCCCCATTTTAGTGTAACACAGGGATTACATTTAGAAACAACTTTCGGTAGGTGGAAAAAGAGGGTGACTTGGAAACGTAATGTTAACATTTCTCTGGTCTTCACACTACACAGGGAAGGCTCCTGCCTAACATGGGTGGAATTAAGAGTTTTAAAGGTAGTTATCTATAGATCTGACGTGATTTATTCAGATGCAGACTGCACTGGTGGGCCATCCCCTCCCCTTTCATCACAGCTGACCGTTCCCACCTCCTCACTGCACCAATCCTGGCACTGAAGAGGCAACCACCCCTAGAAACAAAAGTGTGCAGTTTTCTGGCAGCTCAGCTCTCCCCAGTTCATTCTGGAGCCAAACAAGTGCTTGTGATGGTGTGGCATGAACAATGCCCAAGTTCACTGCCTGTCACAGCTTCTCCTGAGACCTGGCAGCAAACAGAGCCTGTCAGCACTGTAGGCAGACCCAGTTTTCAGAGTGATTTTTAGCTCAGAGCTATAAACAGAACATGTCTGGGACTGGAGGTGGTGTAAATACCAAACACTGTGTAACTTCAGCATGAACAATGTCAGTGGAAAGTTTACTCAATTTAGTTCCTCTATGAGTTTGTTACTTTTCTTCCTGCTAATAAAGCTCTGTGCACACCTCATGAGCCTACATTTCTTTAGTCAAATACATGTCAAAGCCCCATGCTGTATCTTCCTGGACTCACTAAACTGGAAATAATCCAAGCAAGAACAGCACAGGCAACAGAAAGTGTTCACCACCTCACCAGGCATGGACATGCCAGGTCCAAAACAGAGAGCTGAGGTGGTCAGTACCATCACATTTCAAGGTTTTTACCTTAGAGGACTTCTTCTTTTGCCTAGTCTGTAAAAGCTGATTAGTAGCCATCCCGTATTTCCAAGACCTGCCTTCCACTTGTAATCAAAACCTAAAAGAAAGAGAAGATATGAGATACCTGGAAAATACAGCAATTGCTATTTCTCATCTTCCTTAAACTAAAAATGAGATTCTTCAGCTTATTCAGGTCTCAAAGCTAATTGTCAGCCAGGACAGGTAAAGAAAAAACAACCAAGGATACAGCACAGCACTGCCTGAGAGGCTGCAGAGCAAGAAAACTCCCTATTTACGGCTAAAGGATCAATAGTATTTGAAATGCAGGACCATGACTGTCAGCTGGTGCACTTCAAAATGCATTCCTCATATTCCAAAACACAAATGTTAATTCCTACAACCATTAAGCAGCGTGAAGGGTGAAAGAACTGGAAGCCTGCCAAGAGAAGCCAACATTTTAGCAATGGTAAGCAGGAAACGCACTAACATCGATCTTGGCTGGAATAAAGGAACGATTCTTCTGGGACACCTTGAAGGGGAAAAGAAAAACATAAAGAGAAGAAAGCCCACATTGTTTCAGTGAGAGTGGGCCCTGTTAGACAAGCCTGGATTAAAGAGGAAAATACTCTTTTCACAAGAATGGAAAGCAGACTGATTAAGGCAATAACATGGACGTTACATGCTGAGCACCCTGGTGAGGTGCTTGACTTTGCACCATCTGACAGATTGATTAAAAACTTCCATGGAAGTTGTTAGAACTGTGCTAACTGGTTGGAAAACTGGCTTGTGAGGAGATCCCAACACGTAGTTGCCAATGGGGAGACATGAATGAAAGGAAACACCACAACCAGGTCCCCAGAGGGGTGTTGCCTTGTCCACAGCTAGTCAATATTTCTACTAACAATTAAAAGAACAGCACAAACAGAGGGGGTTGATTGAAATCGTGACCCAAGGCAGTGAGCAGCAGCCTTTTATTAACACAGCTGAGCTCATCTTGTTCTGCATTTGTACCTTTTCAGCTTTTTTCCATGCCAGCCTCATTTCCATTTGTTGGCAGTCATTAAGACATGTTGATTGGAACATGTTGACAGCTTTTATGCTAAATTTAGCACTTCATTTAGTAATGAGGACAGAGCACAGCTACAGAAGTACATTCCAACAAATATACACCTGCAAAGTTCTTCATATGTTAAATATTTGAGGGAAGCGTTCTTTTTTTTGTGCTCTTACTGGCTGAGCACTGCAAATGGGACTAGAATATATTAACAGTAGACAAAGCCATTATTCCAACGTGAGGTTATTACCTAAATAAAGGTTATTTAAGTGAGACAGATAAGAAAACATGTTTTCGACAAGATACCACACTTAGAATTGATTCATTGTGCCAAGGGAACATCACCTACACTGAGCTTATCTGCTCCAGCCAGGTTGTCTCCCTACAGGGAATCCTCCACAGCTCCAGCATCACCGTCTCACCTTGACGAAACCTCCACTTGCTCCTGGGCTGTGGGAGGAAAGAAGGTGCCCTGGCTGCCCGCAGCCACAGTGCTCACCCATGCTGACAACACCCAGCAATGAGGGTCGGGAAAACAGAATTAAGTGGGAGAAACTTCTGGGTGGGAATTTGCCTGCCTGAGCTGGCGTCTGACCATCAGGATCTAATGTGGCATTCATTCTGACCACACACACCCTGCATAGAACAATAGAATGGTTTGGGTTGGAAGAAAGCTCATCCAGCTCCAACCCCTGCCATAGGCAAGGACACCTCACACTAGAGCAGGTTGAACAACCTGGCCTTGAACACTGCCGGGGATGGGGCAGCCACAGCTCCTCTGGGCACCCTGTGCCAGCGCCTCAGCACCCTCACACTTGGGGTGCGAGGAGGCTGCAGGAGGGACTGAAAGAGCCGCCCCGGCCCCAAATGTCCCTTCAAAACCCCTTCTTTTCTCTCTTTTTTTAGCCTGTTTTTTTG